AGACACCATCACTGTGAACTTCACTTTTACTATAAGAAACTAAATGCACAAAAAAGCTCATTTAAGCCCTTATTTGATGACATAAGCTCTTACTTGATGCTATAAATTGAAAACTGAATGGACTGTGCTATACTCTAACTTACCCAGATACTGATAAAATTTATGACTAATATATTAAACCAAATTAATTATTTTAAGTCTCATAAACCTAGGGTAATTTTCCAAGTAATTAAAAATGAGGTGAAATTTCAACTGATGTTCATCCAAAACAGCAAGCAAGTCATCTCGGTGAATGCACGGTTAGTTACAACATCATGTAGCTATTCCCTTCCTGTTTTCTTGAAGAAAGGTTATTAAAACTGAAACACTCGTGCTTGCCTTTGAAGGTAAAGAAGTGAAATTCAAATGCCAAGGGTCAGAGGTCAGAAGCAGTCCCATTTTTCTTGCTGTCAGAGACTGACTCTTGGAGGTAGGGTGCAAAAGACCACATTCTAAGTCTATCCTCAAACTGAAGCATATTGTGTCCCCCGCTATACTGGTCTGCTACGGTTACAACACAGTGTGGTCAGACATAATCCAAAATAGGCAATAAAGAATAAGAGCAAAAACAGACTGCTGACATGGGCACTCAATTTACACTGGACTCCCAATGCACCAAACAACCATTCCATCCATGAGATGTTGTGGTAAGCAAAACTGTGATTCCAAATTAGACCCATCAATTTTAGTGTATTAATCTTAGGTCAGTGATTTGGGGGGTATCATCTTGTCAACTAAGCAAATAACTAAAGATTTTCATAAAACAGAATCAGATCTAAAATTAACTGAATTGAGCTCCATGTGTAAATGTTCCCTGAGATGTGGTGAGAACAGAACACATACAGTCATCGTGCTTACAATTAGCTGCATCGTCACGGGTCTTCATGGAGACCATTCCCCACAAGGCAACTCTTAATTAGGCTACGTCTGCATGTTAGCTCAAGGGAGTGCAGATTTAAAGGAAAAGAGTTTAATGTGAATGTTCAATGGCCAGTTTAAAGGATTTCTGAATGAGCTCTAACTGTGTGTGGCCCTGACAGACAGAGATGCCCTAAAAGGCCTCCTGCAGCAGGCGGGGCACGAGGCAGACCCTCAGGAAGTCCTTTCGGACCTGACAGACGTTGCGGCCTGAGGCGTGTGTGGACTGTACTGACGGAATGCAGTTCCAGGACCATGGTCTGCCGTGTTTTCACCCTCCTGAAAGCATCTCACAATTGCTGTCTGCCACACTGCAGTCCTGCAGCTGTCTCAGCCTGCACCAAGCATCAGCATTTGCACAACTGCTAGCAGCAGCCTGGAAAAAACCCAGGAATGACAGCGGAGCAACCTTTTAAGGAATGCTGCGTTGCCAAGGTTTTGATGGCACAAAATATGGGACCTCATATGGAAAAACAAGAACATCAAGATCCTGAGTCAAAGAGTGATTCAGAAGACTCAGACCCAATATGAAAAGGGGCATATTGGGTCAGATCATTCTTTGTGTGGGCTGGGGGATGGTAACCCTACGCATTACAGGATTTTTAGCAGCACCTCTGGCCTCGACCTGCTAGATGACAATAGTGACAAGCTGTGACAGCCAAAAATGTCTCCAGATATTGTCTTATGTCCCCTGGGGACCAAAATCTCCCTCAACTGAGAACACTACCTTAACCTATTTATTTTGCTTACATTTTCCTTTTTCATGAATACACAAAGTGATAGGTTTTTAAAAATTCAAAGAAAATCTTAATGAGCTCTTTCAATAAAATTTCTAAGAGATAAACTATTGTGCTATAATTTGCAGCAATTTTTTTCTTAGTGGTACATCAATCGCTCCTTAAAATCGATGACATCTTCAATTCAATGAAATTTAGCCACCCACCATCCTTCCCCCTTTGTTGTGAAATCTTCATCCTGATTTCCTTTGGGGGAATTACTTCTACCCCGCTGTGCACACTTTAGTAGTACCCAGTTCTTCCCTAGTAGTAGTTCTCTCATCTTCCTTTTGATTCTCTTGAGCTATCCAATATGCTTCTAAAAATTTCCTTGCTTCCTAAGTTACCCAGAACTCAGTTTCAGTCTTTCAACCAAAAAACCTAACTGAAACAAAAGTCCTTCTCTAAGCTAGCCTGATGGAAGACATTTTGGATTAGTTCACTGCCACAAAGTTCATCAGCTTATTAAAAATGTTACTGCCAGGGTGCCTGGGTGACTCAGTTGATTGAGTGTCCAACTTCAGCTCAGGTCTTGATCTCGCAGTTCGTGAGTTTAAGCCCTGTGTCGGGCCCTGTGTTGACAGCTCAGAGCCTGGGGCCTGCTTCAGATTCTGTGTCTCCCTCTCTCTATGCCCCTCCCCCCACTCACTCTGTCTATCCATCTCTCTCTCTCTCTCTCTCTCTCTCTCAAAAATAAACATCAAAAAAATAATAAAAAGAAAAAGTGTGACTGCTTCCCTTACAACATTTGCCACACAGGCAGCGTGAATGGGCTATAGATGAAGCCAGAATTGTTCAAACAGTGTGATGGGTCTTAGGTATTCATTGTACTCGTCTCTGATTTTCAGTGTGCTTTAAAATGTCCATAATAAGAAGGTTAAATAAGGGTAACAAATACTCTGTAGATAAAAATATCAAAGTCAAAATAATTTCTAAAGTCCTTTTTGCCCAAATTTGATTCCTTACACATCTGTGTACTTACATGCCAACCTTAAGTGTTTGGGAAGTCGCCTGCAATTATGTATGCATCTGGACAGCAAGGGAAAGCGAGTAAGCAGTATTACAAATGACGGACAATGGCACAAGGAACCATTCTTTGAAACTCTTAACAGGCTTTATTCAATTAAGGCAACAGATACAATAATGTATGAAGGCCTAGTGACTCCAAAAAGTTGCTTCTGAAAGACTACATGTAAAAACTTTCTTAATCCTTCTAAAATTTCTTCCCCAGTAGAAAAAAAAGAAAAAAAAAAAAGCTATTGATTCTTCCAAGAACTACCATAAAGATGAACACACACTTTTTGCTGAGATCTGACAGCTATAAGTTTTCATAAAGAAGGCTTCAGACAAAATATTTTTTTAAAGAAAAAATAATAAAAAGGTTGTGCTACCCTCCACTCTCCTTAAAGGTGACAGAAAATAAATTCTTTATCAATAGTCATTTGTCCAGGTTATAGCAAAGCTGCCAACCCCAGTCCACAAGAGATAAGAAACTGGCTCTCACTGGCACCTTTTACTCATCCCGTTTGCCCTTTACCCTTTTACAGACCAAGGCAGAGCAAATGGGAGTTGAATAATGAAGAGGAAGAAAAACACACACAAAAAAAACAAAAACAAAGCACCACAGTGAGAGTTACTGTAACTAAAAGCCTGTACCATATGGGGAGAAAAGAAGACAAAAGTCCTATGTGAAATATGAAAAGCAAAGTAAATATGAGAGTCTAACCAAAAAAAAGCCTTATTAAAATGAATTCAACTAAAAATAATAAAATTTCAAAGACAAGAAATTCTACCATAACATATTGATTTTCTTTGCTTCTTAATGAAAATGGTCTGAAATTTTTTGAATATTTAAACTCCAATCTCTAATTATATACTACATCAACCTAACCTAATTAAGTAATTATAAAGTATTGCATAGGAAACTACTGAAATATACACAGACCCTTTTAGCAGCACTAATTACATCCTGATTTTTTAAAACCCTAAGCCATGAGCCTTCCCTGTTTGCTGAGAAAATGGTGGTCTTAATCTTAAAACTTATGTCTTATTCCATACATTTCGAGCAAATTAGAGATAACTCAGCACTTTGTCAAAGGGAAAGAAACATTAGAGAACATTTTTCAAACCCCTCAGTTTAGAGATAAAAATCTTTGAGGCCCTCAGAAGTTGAATTACACGTTGAAGATCCTGTGGTCAGGGAGGACTAGAATCCAATTCAAAGATTCCTTACACTGAGCTTTCTCAAACAAAATAGTTAAGCAGCTCAAAATAAGAACAAATACATACTGGGCATCTACACGTGGTAGGTGTGTGCCTAGTAGTCACATGATTACATAATAAAGGGTGCTAAATGCAAATTTCAGAAGTAGCACAGATGGAAGCACTTGATTCCATCTTGGATTAAAATGTATTCATTTATTGTTATGAAGAAGTATAGACTTTAAATCTTTAAAAGCAGTATTTTTTACCCTAAAGAAATTACCATGCTGTCTTGAATGTTGCTTTTTTATCAAGTTATGTTTTTCCACACCTATCTGAATCAGCACAGAAAGATATACTTGACTGTCAAGTATTCCATGGGAGGCATGTATCCTAAGTTATTCATCCCATCCCCATAATGGGCATTTGGATTGCTTCCTATTCTCGACTATTACAAAAATACTTCAGTGAACATTCTTTCAGCTGTTAGCAGTAGTAATAATGACAGTAATTGTACAGATGTACAAAAGAATAAAATGTTCAAGAGTGGTTACCTCCACAGAACAGAATTATGGAGGACTTTGACTTTTCAACCTTACATTTTTCAGCAATGTCTTCAGCTTTTTTAAGTGACCACATTACTAATTAAAGCTATTTGTTAATATGGGCATTATGTAAAACATGTAACATTCACTGTTAGCTACAATACTATAAATCTTATCACCCACAGTAGATATACAATTTACAATCATAAACACATTTGCTGAAAGCAACTAGCCTAAGAAATGCCTGGGGAATCCTCAAGAAATACCTCTCACATACCAAGAAACTTTGCAGTAATCATGCAGCTATGAACCGCATGAGAGATACAACGGTCACAATCAAGTGTGGGAAGTGGGTAAGGAAGGGTGTATCCAAAACTGAAAATGGCCACATTCATATGTTCCACACATTGCGCAGCTCAAATACAAACAGTGAGCCTTATTACAATCATTCCTCTCCAAAAACATTCCATGGGTATGACAAGAGTCCACCAAAATCTCCCCCAGATATCAGAAAACTCACCGTTTCTGATTTTCAGACTCTTTCTTTGCTTGCTCCAATGCCAGCTCCTCGGCCACCCTTCTTTTCAATTCTTCATCAGAAACTAGGATCAATAAAGAGTGGAAGGGGAGAAAAATCAGTGATTTCTTAAAAACAAAAGCAAGAAAATACACCAGAAAACAGAGCTGAGACTAGATTTTAATGGGCAAAGTTCTGCCAGCTGGTCAGCATCTCCTTGGACATACCTAAGCACTGTAGAAAAGACCAATTAGTGTACTTCAGGAGTAATTTAATCAAAAGTTCCATGGTGACCTAGAAATTTCCATACCTGCCAAAATGTATAATAAATTCAAGGAGCTGCTTACTGCCCACTGGGGACTGAACCATTAAGTACAAATTCTTTAAAATGATCTCCTATCACTAAAGTTTGACAATCACGTAGAAAAGGAAGAGAGGCTGGAAGGAAGTGACTTCAGAAAGGAAGAGGAAGAGGACACCAAAACATTCTCACTTTGATAATTAAACACTTTAAAGAACAATTTATGACAGGAAGAAAATCCTTTGTATTTATAACCATTTTTCCATGATTTGTGAAAAAGGGCATTTATGATTTACAAAAATTTTAAAGCCGTATTTTTGGAATCTATGTCATTCCACGTCAAGTGCCAACAATTGGAAAGAGATGCAAAAAAAGTGCTGAGAACACAGCTGCAGCTTTCTAAATACCTGGTGACTTGATTTGAAACATCTGGTCTTTCCAATTGGAAGATGCTGTACGATATGTTTTGTAAAGATCCTTACAGCTATGATAGCAAGTCAAACAGACAAATCCTGACATACTCCTTAAGAGCCTTCCATAAGAAATAAGTAGAGACCATTTCCTCTTTACTAGAAATACACTACCCAAAATCATGACCAAGAAAGCAACACAAAAATTGGGGGGAATCTAGGAATACATACAGGAGCTAAGAAGTATTTCACATGGTGGAGGCTATTAGGTGGGAAATTAGGCAGGACTGTCTCCTGTGCAACATCACTTTATTTGATGGTCTCCATGCTTATCAGCACCTTGCCTTAGCGCATATGCAAAAAACTGAATTACAACAGGACCCAGAAAGCCTTTATAAAATTTAGCTGACACTGGACAATAACAAAGAAGATATGGAAAAGGTCATAAGGATGTGGGTTTTTTTTTAATTTTTAATGTTATTTATTTTTTGGTTTTTTTGTTGTTTTTTTTTTACAAATAGTTTATTGTCAAATTAGTTTCCACATAACACTCAGTGCTCATCCCCACAAGTGTCCTCCTCCATGCCCATCCCCCCCTCCCCCCATCCATCAGTCCTCAGTTTTTGTCAGCATTCAAGAGTCTCTCATGGTTTGCCTCTCTCCCTTTCCCCCACCATTTCCGCCCTTCTTCTCCCCCTTGTTCCTCCGTCAAGTTCCTCCTAATCCTCCTATACGTGCAAACATATGATATTTGTCCTTCTCTGTCTGACTTATTTCGCTCAGCATAACACCCTCAAGGTCCATCCATGTTGCTACACATGGCCAGATTTCATTCTTTCTCATTGCCATGCAGTATTCCATGGTATAGATAAACCACATCTTCTTGATCCATTCATCTGTTGATGGACACTTAGGCTCTTTCCATGTTTTAGCTATTGTGGAGAGTGCTGCTATGAACATTGGGGTACATGTGCTCCTATGCCTCAGCATTTCTGTATCCCTTGGGTAAATTCCTAGCAGTGCTATTGCTGGGTCATAGGGGAGTTCTAGTGTTAGTTTCCTGAGGAACCTCCACACTGTTTTCCAGAGGGGCTGAACCAGTTTACATTCCCACCAACAGTGTAGGAGGGTGCCCGTTTCTCCACATCCTAGCCAGCATCTAGAGTTCTCTGATTTGCTCATTTTAGCCACTCTGACTGGCGTGAGGTGGTATCTCAGTGTGGTTTTGATTTGTATTTCCCTGATGAGGAGGGATGCTGAGCATCGTTTCATGGGTCTGTTGGCCATCTGGATGTCCTCTTTGGAGAAGTGTCTGTTCATGTCTTCTGCCCATTTCTTCACTGGGTTGTTTGTTTTTCGGGCGTGGAGTTTGGTGAGTTCCTTATAGATTCTGGATATTAACCCTTTATCTGATATGTCATTTGCAACTATCTTTTCCCGTTCCTTTGGGTGCCTATTAATTTTCTGGGTTGTTTCCTTGGCTGTGCAGAAGCTTTTAATCTTGATGAGGTCCCAACCGTTTATTTTTGCTCTTGATTCCCTTGCTTTTGGGGATGTGTCAAGTAAGAAGTTGCTGCGGTGGAGGTCAAGGAGGATGTTTCCTGCTTTCTCCTCTAGGGTGTTGATAGTTTCCTGTCTCACGTTCAGGTCCTTTATCCATTTTGAATTGATTTTTGTGCATGGTGTGAGAAAATGATCTAGTTTCATTCTTCTGCATGTTGCTGTCCAGTTCTCCCAACACCATCTGTTAAAAAGGCTGTCTTTTTTCCATTGGATATTCTTTCCTGCTTTGTCAAAGATCAGTTGGCTGTATACTTTTGGGTCCACTTCTGAGTTCTCGATTCTGTTCCATTGGTCTATGTGTCTGTTTTTGTGCCAATACCATACTGTCTTGATGATGACAGCTTTGTAGTAGAGGCTGAAGTCTGGGATGGTGATACCTCCCGTTTTGGTTTTATTTTTCAGTATTACTTTGGCTATTCGGGGTCTTTTGTGGTTCCATACAAATTTTTGGATAGTTTGTTCTAGTTTTGAGTGTTATTTATTTTTTGAAAGAGAGAGATACAGAGTGCGAGCAGGGGAGAGGCAGAGAGAGAACACACACACACACACACACACACACACACACAAAATATGAAGCAGGCTCCAGGCTCTGAGCTGTCAGCACAGAGCCCAACATAGGGCTCAAACTCATGAGTCCTGAGATCATGGCCTGAGCCAAAGTCAGACGCTTAACTGACTGAGCCACCCAGGCATATTTTCTTAGTTATAAATTATCAGAAAACAACACCCTGTATTTTCTTAGTTGTAGATTATCAGGAAACAACATCATCAAGAAGGTGAAAAGACAGCTGACAGAATGGGAGAAAATACTCACAAATCATATAGCTGATAAGAGACTTGTATCCAGAATACACAAGCAAAAAATTAAAAATGGGCAAGGGATAGAAATAGGCATTTCTCTATAATAGATAATACAACAGGCCAATAAGCACATGAAAAGTGACTGAAGGCCATTCAGTCAATTTAAAAAAATGATACACCAATTCAAACCCAGTACAATCAAAAAGATAAACATTAACAAGTGTTGCTGAGAACGTGAAGAAATTATGGCAATATTACTCACAATATTCCAAAACTGAAAATCTAAATGCCTATCCACTGATGAATGGATAAATAAAATGTATATCCATCTCAATGAAGCTTTAAAAAGAAAAAAGAATGTAATACAAAAGAAGAAGAATGGATGAAAATTAGGAAAAGGAGTAAACGCTAATTGAGGTCTAATCCCAGCTTGGCCATCAACAATCGAGAACCTGGGGGAAGTTACCAGCCTCTCTGCACAGTTTTCCTCAAAGGTGTTCTCAAATGCATGTTCTCCAGAGTCTCTTTGAACTATATACTAAGCTGCCCTTTGGCTTCTCTCCTGCTTCACCGTCCATAAGATGAGAAAGACAGAAGTCTCAGCTTTGAAAAGGTCACATAAAATCAAGAAAAAACTAGAAAAGAGAATTCTGTCTACACTCAGGCAAATCTTGAGATTCTTTTAGTGTTAAAGGCTTTAAAACAATACAAACACTAGCAAGAGAAATTAGACAGTTACTTAGCTCAGCAAAGAGTCTAAATAGAATAGTCTCTTTTTCCATTAGCTAGACTTCTTATCAATCAAGTAACCTACCCAAGTTTTGATTTCCTCGATCAAAAACAGCTGGGTTACACGGGTGTCAAACGGCTATGAAGTTCTACACTCTGCTCTCCATAAGGCAATGATTTTCACATTTTCAGCTACTTCTCATAAACAAGCAAAACAACATCACACTTCATTTTTTCAAGTTGTTCACAGCTGGTAGCTCTAATTAGTAGCAAAAATTGAAAAAAATATTTAACCCAATTAATACTATCCAAACTATACCCTTAAGTTTCACATACCAGTTAGAATCCACACACGGTCAGACTGATGTGTGCAGTAACACCGTTTCCCCTGGATTTTTTCAAATTAGCATAGCAACATTTTTCTCAGGCAAAACTCAATCAAATTCTCAATCACAATTCAACTGACCTTCATTCAACCAATCAAAACTAAGCTTCGGTGAGACCTCAGGATACCAGATCTGAGAATGCAGCAATGGGATCTGTTTTCTAAGTGAGCTGATAAAACAGTCTCCATATCTTCCACAGTGCATTTTATGCCTCTCACATAGGGGCTTCCTACCACAGGAAAAGCCAAAGTCAGCAGAGAGCTTCTTACAACGGTGTGATAAACCTAAAGTGGAAGAGAAAGGACTCCATGACCAAATGGTGACCAGCTGGGTGGCTGGGAAGGCAGCCATGCAGAAGAGATTGCAGAGAAAGAAATGTAGCCTCAAGGCTTGTCCTCTCTCTCTATACCATCCTGCCTATCATGTCAACCCCACCACCTGCTGGGGTGGGGGGGTGACAGAGAGATGGAGGTAACTGGTGATGTCATCTAGGCAGGCCACAAGGGAAAGAGGTGGGAGCGAGAAATTACCAGCAATGCAAATGGCCAGGAACTCCTAGAGGCTACTGAAGAAGACGTGCCCAAGGGGCCAACAAGCTGACATCACTTACGGTCAGTAATGAGACCAACACACAGCTGTCTTTCTAATGCCCCAGCTATTTCTAGAAAAGAAAAAAAAAATATAGTGTTGGGTCTCATGTCCAAGGTCACAGCTGAAAAAGTAATTACCTTAGCTACAAGTGAGAATTTAAAATAACAAAAGATAAAACATGACCTAGCATAAAGAGTTTAAAATCTAAAATAGCAAATCTAAGCCAGGCAGGAAAATAAACCAGTGTAGTAATGGGTTTTGAGCAAATCTAGGTTTCATGCTATTTGTTTTTAAATCAATAGAA